GTTTCGTAACCCCACCATCTTCGCCTCCGCTGCGCGAAAACTGAAGCTTGGATGCAAAGCCTACACCATCTCCCAAAATTCCTTCGACCCTTTCTTCGTGTGGTCCGTATTTGCATGTGCAGAGCGGTTCCTACATTCCCTCCGGTGCTTTCCGCCAGTCGAGGCCATGACTGCGCTGATGCCAGTCTACAACGAACTCTTCTTCGTATCGAAGCGCATTGTCCCTATTTTGGGAGACAGATTTCCAAACGCCCATTATTGGTTCCAAACACTGATCGACTTTCAGCCGACGCATGCCCTGGCCGCCAGTAACCCGAACGTTGTCATTAGATTCCAGAGCGAACAAGGTCACGAAGGCGTGTTCGCAAGCCTCGTGACAGTCCGTAATGACAATCGCTGCATGAACATTCAGTGCACAGCACCCCTCGGAACGAAAACCACTACGTGTGCTGGTTGTGCAGTGATCCGTTACTGCGGCAAACCGGTCAGTTCATTCCTCCGTGGCGCTCTTCATCTTCACAGCCGTGGCTCACGGTTCCTGTTTAGTGTCAACGCACGGCATGGAAGGCGACCGTTTCCCCACATCGCACTTTATGCAAGCACATCGGAACCTTTTTGGAGAAGTTGGAACTTTCTTCGGGCGCGACCGAATGGAACGACTGGTTGGCTGGTAAGCCGAGCATAATCAAATGTCAAAACTTCGACGAGCTATGCCGGAGGAAGGGCGTGGATCCAGCGTTGTCGGATTCTATCTGTGCAGAAATCAAAGCTCTTGAGGCAGCCAGCAAGGGCGTGGGTCTGGCTCATGACCGATTTCGATGGTAAAAGTGCTTGGATTAACTTCAACGATCGATCTCGTAACTGTAATAATCTCTCTGTTCTATAGCTCCAGTGTCCAATAAATTATATCCTGCCCAACCTTCAGTTCATTTTCCTCGTCCCATGTCAACGCCATCTTCATCGTCGCCCTCGCAAGCTCCTGTGTGGAACCAACGTTCCAACGACGCCGCGTCGATCCCAAGAGCGGGCATGTGGCCTGTGCGTCTGGATTGTGGCAAGGGGGTAGGAGTGACTGGTTCACCGGTTGCTGGTCTGGAAAATCGCGGAAGCAGCGGCGGTAGAGCTGCCCCACGTTCGCGAATAGGGGTATGCGGTGACCTTGGGTTCAACTTCCAAACGGCGAGGGGCAGGTCTTCCTTCTCGTCAGATGCGTGAGAGCCGTTTGGGAGAGGTGTGGATGGAATCGGGCCGAAGCTCAGTTCAACTGAGTGGCGATCCAATTGTTCTGGAAAATATTCGGATGAGATTACAGTCGGAATGGTATGAGCGTCGAGACTGACCGTTTCCTTTGAGGCTTCGCAGGAATGGGTTGTTCGGGCTTGAGGAAGAAGGTGATGGGGATTCGTCACTGGCGGAAAAGATTCATGTCGTATACTCGTCGTGCAAAACAGCGTTACATACCTTTCAAAAAATGTCTTCTCGGCGTTGTACGAGAGGCGGGTCATGGGTTGCTGTAGAAGGCAAATCAAAGATGGAAGTTGTGCTGGGAGAATAGAGAATCTAATTAGAATCCTGAGTTTATAAATCCTAGTCGCTTTGACCTACTAGACAAAAACAATGCATATCCCCCAAAAACTGCATTGAACGGCCAAAGCTAGCCAACGCTTTGACATTTTGAAGATGCTCTGATCGCCGAGCGCGTGAACTACATCACGCTAAGACCACTTGAGACAGCGGGGGGTTGTTCTTGATAATTGTCTGTTTTATGAAGAATGCAACAAGGGTGCTAGACAACACAATAGTCTCGCTTGTTGTATTGTGAATCGCTGTTAAACTATTAGTATCGCTTACGCAAATTCATACAATTGAAGTCTTGAAACGGGACTGTAGTCGTTGCGTCGGGGGGCGCAGACAAGGTGTGTACATAAGTTCGCACCTCGAACCAGATGAAAACCTTTTTTTTTTTTTTTTTTTTTTTGGGACGTATGGAGGAGGGCAGAAGCACTTCGCTATATCACGCTAGTTGCTCCCCGTCATCGTATTCTCAGGGCTCACAGGCCGCCCGAGTCCACGAGTCGTCCGGGCAGATAAAATCTGTTCCCACTCCCCCCGTCGATTTGATGCCTTGGACTTGAAACCCGGCCAGACGTGTTTCAACCACCCAAGGAAATGCACAATTGCACTGGTGTTCGTTTTCAACTCAATACCGCGTGTGGGGTTTCGACATCATTGAGTGAAGGGACTCTATGGCAAGCTATAAAGTCCCTCTCCCCTCAGCCGACACAGATGAAAACCCTGGCTAGGGTCGGGCTAAGGAGTGCAAATTTTCGGAGATTGTGAATCGAACGTCTTCTGTTTGCTTTCCAGATACGTCGTGATCGCCCTCGACTCCGGCATACAATCTCCATCTCAACCGAAAAAAAACGAGAAAAAAAACACGCTAAAACGCCCTCCGTCTAACAAGTTGCAATTGAACAGCGCCCGGGCATCACAGTAATATAGACACGGCCCACGGCCCGCCCACGAATAACGGTTCAGCTTCTTTCTGATAAACCCGATACAACAAAGGATCTGCCAACATTTCATCGGGGTCTACGCATTTATTTCTCTCGTTCTTCAAAACCGCAACCGCCCCTCTAGGGCCTCTACCCAAATATCGAAGGAATGACCGCCAAAAGAGCGTGTTGATTGGTTGCAGATAACCTGACCGTGGGAACCAGCAGTGACCTCACGCTGTCACGACGCGTTTTCTTTCTCTCTCCACCACCACTGCTTATCGCGTTCTTTGAAGCTTTATTACCTCTCGTCCGCTCTTACAAGGACTCTACTTCAAAATAAATTGATTAAACGCGTCCCGTCGCGTCGCACCTTAACTTACATGGCTCTGGCGCGTCTATCGTCAATCCCCCTCGAGCTGCAGTATCTCGCGTGTGCGTCTTGTTCAGCGTGTTTCTTCTCTGTCCATGAACTGACTGAGAAGCCCCCAGCGAAAGAGCTCGACCCCTTCGACCTTCTGACGCTCAGCCACGTCTCGCAGTATTGGCGCGCCTTTGTGATGGACGACAAGCGCTGGAGCGAGTGGTTCGGTGTGCGTCTTCAACACGTTCTGATACCATCCATAACTTATTGCGGCTTAGCTGATTGTATCTGCGGACGAGAGCCTCGAGGAATGCCTCGCGCGCTTAAATGTCAGCGACGTGTTGCCCAAGCGGTGAGCAGCGTCTCTTTGAGCCAAATGCACCGATTTAATGTCGGCTTGGTATTTTGTAACGAATAGGAACCTTGTCTACCGCTGCCTCTGCGACAGCTGCACGGTTTGTGGCGAGTACGCAGCACAGCTGTACATCCCGCACATGAAGGTGAGTCGCGAATTCCCTTTGTTTGAGCGCTGCTCAATTAAAGTGCAGCGCGTGTGCGACAAGTGCCTTCGCGGTGACGAGTTTATCGTCCTCCCCCTGTCATCAGCACTGGCGAAATATGACTTGCGCGAGCGCGACGCGTCCGGCGTGCTTACTCTGTGCGTCGTCTGCTTTGCTTTCTCCCATCGTCCGGCGACTAATGTTCTCGAAATTTGTAAGGGAATACGTGAATCCAAATCGCAACTCGAAGCGCCCGGCTAAGCTCGTGAGCGAGTCGATGGTGAAGAAGGCGTGCGTCCACTCTCTCTCTCTCTCTCTCTCTCTCTCTCTCTCTCTCTCTCTCTCTCTCTTCTTGCCTTCGCTTCGTACAGTGTATCATGCTGACCTCGCACTAGCGCGATCCATAGATACGGCTCCGCCGACCTCCTCTCCGCGCACCTCGCTTGGAAGACTAAGTCCGCGCGCAACACCTATAGCACGCGTTCGGAAGACTATCGCGCCGCTGTCCGCACGCGCGAGGCGCTCGAGGAAGCGGGCGATACGGCGGCGGCAAGCGCGGTGGTCCTTGCCCGCACGGGGCGCGCAATTCCCAAGGCGTTCCCGGCGTACCCCGGGATTTTGATGCAGCCAGCAAGACCGGTGGAGAGGGGAGTGGTGTGTTTCCGGTTGAGGAGGCTGGCCGTGGTGGGGAATGAAGTGGTGAGATTTGATGATGACTCGGATGGAGAGGAGGATTCAGAATGAGGTGAGTTAGGGGCTGGCGCTTTGCTGCGGCGATGCTGACGGGTTCGAGGAACAGCATGGGCACACTTTGTGCTTCATATCCCAACAACGGAGAAAATCGAAACGGAACCGCATTCACTCAAATTGTACTCGTTGATTCTCCCTTCTTCTCTTCAACGCACATGCATTCATCTCCCGACATTAGCAGTTTTCTATCCTAACATTATCACTTTCTTTTCTTCTACCTCGCGCGTAGCTCACCCTTTCATGATCGAATTCTCAGCCCAATTCGCTATGTCTCCTGTGCTCTATTCGCTCTCTTGAACTTCCACTCTTCTCACTTCGCGCTGTACTCCTCCAGTTAAACTCCCATCCTCTTTATTTACACCCACCATTTTTACTGTACTCAGCACCGCTCCGTTGGACCGCTCATCGATCGTCGCGCCTAGAAAATTACGCTACAGTTCCTGATGAATTACATTACATACCGTCCTCGAAGCGTTACAATGCATACCGATTCAAACTATCTACGCTCTCCACCCCGCCCAACATCAAAGCAGTTCAACCTACCAAGTTTCAATTCCAATTCAATCAAGGAAGTTGAAAAAGTCACGCAATACCTCAATCGACGAAGGAACTCCACCCGTGTAAGATTAACGCACGGCGCATGATTCAACCTCATCGCTATATGTTGCAGCGGTACACGGCAACTGGAAAAAAAGAGCGTGTGGCTATGTAAAGTTGAACCCCCTATTTCTCCAAGTTTTGTTTGCTACGCTGCCTGGGATCGACGTGCCTGGCAAATCCAGAGCCGAAATCGAGAAGTTGCGGCGCGATCATGTGAGAGTTTTTACTTGTTGCTGTGGAAGTGGGAGTAAGAAAGCGAAAGGAAAAAAAATCGAAGCAGGGACTGTAACATGACCTGACCCCGAATCGAACGGAGATTTTCTGCTTAAATCGTGATTTCAAAATCCACCATTTAAAGCAGCTGCACCCGCCACTGTGCTATCAGGCCATTGTTTACTGTGCCCCAAGGATGGCTTTATGTGACTCAGAGGAACGGAGGAATAAGTTGAACTGATAAATTTATTGAAGAACAGTTAGGCATGTACTGCAGATTCAGAGGTAGAAGGAGAGCTGAACGCATCGATCAGTCAATGGGAAGGAAGGAGAGGAGCTGAAAGCGAGCTCCAAAAGGAAGAGAAAAGAAAGGAGCCAACAACGTTTACCAAAAAGTGGTGATGACCTGACCTCGAATCGAACGAGGGTCTTCTACTCAGAAAATGCTATATACGAAAAATCGGACATCAAGTTAGAAGCGCTATCAGGCCGTCTGTTATGCTTTAAGATAGTTTTTAGATGGCTCAGCTGAAGAAGAGGTGCATCTTGAATTGAGAGAAGAATTTACAGATGCATAGACAAGTGGAACCGACTCCATACGATGCAGAAAGCAATGTAAATAGACAGGTTGAATACATGGATAATTGAAAGATAATTGAAGGAAGGCTGGGGAAGGTAATAGGGAGTCAAAACGAGAGTCCCGTTTCTTTTTTAAAAAAGAAGAGAAACCGATGTCGAGAAAGAAAAGGACAAAAATCAACGAATTCCTACTGACCTAACCCCAAATCGAACAGGGGTTTTCTACTTGCTAAAGTCAGACACACGAACCACTGTGCTATCGGGTCGTTCCTCTACCCTCCAAAACTGGCTTTATATGACCTCAAGAGAGGAAGGAGCAAGTTGAGATTAAACTGCCAAGAGAAAATAAATGCATTTGTTCAATTGCAACCTCCTTTGCTCAAGTATGCTGAGAGGAAGAGATGTTGAACACAGTAACGATACAGAAAGGAACGGAAAGCGAGAGCTCAGATTGAAGACGGACGGGAAAATATTAACGAGAAGAAAAAAAAACCAAAGAAATTTCAGACGGCAAGATGACCTGACCCCGACTCGAACAGAGGTCTTCTACTTATCTTTCCATTGCTCCCTGCAACTTTTGGTAGACGCACTAACCACTGTGCTACCAGGTCATTCCTTTCTGCCCTCCAATGGCTCTTTTATGTGGCTCAAAAGGAGAAGAGTTGTATATTGATTCAACTGTAACGGGACAAAAGAATTTCCTGAATGAATAGGCGGCATCACTGGCCCTACCATGCAAATTCAGAGTTAACTCAGTTAAGAGAGAGGTCGAGCGCAGCAATTATTGTATGCAAAAAAGAAGAGGAGGCGCACACGAAAGCATAAAGAAGTAAGAAGAACAAAACAAAACAAAAAGTCGCCACATATTACGCGATATGACCTGATCCCGAATCGAACGAGGGTCTTCTACATACACCAGTCGGTTGAAAGGGTAGTAAACATATGCGCACTAACCGCTGTGCTATCATGTCATTCTTTACATCTCCATGTGATCCCTTTCATGTGTGTTAGAACGGTGTGAAGTTTCCGACGTTGACTCTTCGAATTGGATTGAATAGAAAAAAGAAGACAGTAGTGTAACGAAGGGAGAGAAAAAGAAGACACAGACCTGACCCCGAGTTGAACGGGAATCTTCTCCATACAATTGGTTTAAGCAAATTAACCAAAGGAGACGCACTGGCCGTTGTGCTATCAGGTCGTGCTGGAGATGGGGAGAGGAGTGGTATTGTGTGGTTGACGTTGAGTTGAGGCAAGATTTGCCGGGTAGAAAGAGAGCCTGTCTCTGTCAAAAGATTAAGCTGCATAAGGAGAACTCTCGAGCACCCCAAAAACGCCCACAGTAAATCGAACCAAAAACGCAACCAGTGTTGTGCCGTGTTATATTCGGCTGCCGCCGCCCTCACGTGCCGCAACTTGACTCCCACTCCGCCCTCACCCACTTGGCTCCCATGCCGCCGAAATCGTCCTCAGCGTCGTCCGGCACGCGGAAGAAACACCTGCGCAAAGCTCTGGGCGAAGTCGAGCCGCCCCCGCCACGCGAGAAGAAGGAGAAGGGCAAAAAAGCGCACCGCTCCGACCCGCCGCGGCCCAAAGTCTACATCGCGCCCGTCAAACCTGCTGCTGCCGTCCCGGACCCTCTCGAAAGTTCGGGGCTGGCGCATAGGCTCCCGCCGGCACTGCTCGTTGTGCTCCGCAGCTTGGGGAAGAAGGCGCCAGTGACGAAGGTCCGTGCGCTGGAGGAGCTGCAGCGGGATTGGGTGGCGCCGTGTGCGAGGGCGGGGGCAGAAGAAGAGGATGGAGAGGGAGGGAAGAGCACGGTGTACGCGGTGCTGGATATGCTGCCCGTGTGGCTGCACCACCTCCCAGCGCATTTGGTGCATCCTTCGCGCCGCATCCGCCTCCTCACCGCAACACTGCACCAGACGCTTCTCCGGAACGCTCTCCTCCGTGAACAGCTGGTGAATGGCGCAGAACTACCTGCAGCCAGCGGGACGTGGGCATTGGCGGCACAGGACCCGGATCGCGCGGTGGCGGCGGCGGCGGGTGCTGCAAGGGTTACGCCCGACGTAGAAATCTTGGTGCCGTTTCTGGAGCGCACGCTGATGGATCCAGATGGCCTGTACGCCGAGCTCAATCCACCCCCGCTAGCTGTCCCGCCGCCGCCTCCCCGTGGGTCTGCTGCTGGACGTGGGCGTGGATCGTCGGCAAATGCACGCGGATCGGTGCGCCCAACCGGCGTTGTGGAACCTCTAGCACCGATTCCCCGCGCCAAAGGCGACGAGCAGGAGGAGAGCGAAGGCGATCGGCGGGCACGGCTCAGAATTGCTGCGTTTGGCGCGTTGAAGCATTTGTTGGGTGCGTGGCGTCTGTCCTGTTCATTTCTTTCCTCGTATTTATACTATCTTTCCATCGTATTCATTCTCATTCTTCGCTTTCCCCAATTTTTATCTTTTTTATCTTTTTTATCTTCTTTCTGCTTGTATCACATTCAAATTCCATCCAGTCCAAACTCATCCACTCATTCACACTTACAGAATCAAACCCCACCCCCCTCCCGCCCTTCCTCGCATCCCCCGCCCTATGGTCCGCTCTCCACCACGCCGAGAAGCCGTCATTCTTGGCCGAAGAGGTCCCTAGTCCTTCATCTATCCCAAACACAGCCTCTACGTCTACCTCCAACGCCAACGCAGCCGCGAATGAAGACGACGATGAGCAGGCCGAGGATAAAGATGGTCGTGATGAGCAGGAAGACGACCCCTACGCAACATACGCCGCCAACCCCGCATACAGAGACACCGAAGGCTTCGGGCATGGACAACCCGCGCTGCGGCGTGCGGCGTGGGCGCTCGTGCCGGTCGTTGTTGCACGGGGTGCGAGCCCTGGTATCACTCCGTCGAGCTCGACGAGCAGCACAGCGTCTGCGAGTAGAGGTGATATAGCAGTGGATACGACTTCGACGCCGGAGGGCGCCGCGATAGCTGACACAGCCGCGAAGGCAGCATCAAACGACACGACCGCGAAACCCACACCCAGCCCTCCGAAGACGACGCTTCCGCCCGCCTTACTGCTGACGCTCGCGCGCGCGGTGCTGCGGAGCGCGTGGGTGGAGCCGGACAGTGGTGTGCAGGGCGCGATGTGGGCGGGTGTGTTGGGGGTTGTTAAAGGTGTGTTGTGTCTTCCTTTGAAAGCCTCCCCTCGCGTACACTTGCATTCCATTTTCTTGTTCCTTGTAGTAATTCATTTTTTATCATTATTCGTGGTTATTTTACTGTGTTTCTTCCTCCTCGCACGTACATCCCTTCGTCGACTTGCTTTTTCCTACATCATATTTTCATAGACACTACATACTGCGGGTTTTCGCACCGTCCATCCGTTCGTTCCCTCCGAATTTCTGTTCCTCTAGGATCCGCTTTCCCTTCCATTTCTTTCTCTCATCCTTATCTTCCTCCTACCATCCTCCTCACAACCCACAAAAAGTTAACGTCGACGCTAATAAACATTTCCTTTAACAGCCCATCCGCCCGCCTGGTCCCTCGCCCCCCAATCCTACCACGAATTCCTGCACAGTTGGCTCGCGCGCGCGGCGGGCGGGACGCCGGCTGCGTATGGCGGCGCGGTGGTGGTGGTGTCGAGTGTGGGGAGTGAGGTGAGTTTTTTGGTTTGTTCGAATTTTACTAGGCAGAACTAACCACCGCGCAGATCCTCGCACCCATCGACACGCTGTTTGATGCGTTTTGGGCGGCGCTTGGGGGGCCGCCTGCGTTGTCTTCCGCCGCGTCTACTTCCACTATTACTTCCGAAGATCCCTCCGATTCCACTCCGCCAGCAGCTCCCGGGCAAGTAAACGCAGCGCAAGATGGTTCGGATTCCGCCCCTCCAGAACCCGCAGCAGCTGACAATGCCGAAACACCGGAAGTGGAGAGCGCGGAAGTCGATGCCTCCGCAACAGTCGAAGGAGAGCTGGAGAAAACACGCCTCCCAGCCCGACCAACGCCAGCCCCATCGCTAACGACCGCCCTCCCTGCCGCGCGCGCGCGCGCCGGGGCCGCGTTCCTCGGCGCGCTGCTCGAGTGCGCGGTGTTTGTGGTGAGGAGGGGGAGGCGGGCGGGAGTGGGCGCGCGGTTTTATTTCGGGGAGGGAGGAGAGGATGGTGAGGAAACGCTGGGAGAAGCAGGAGAGGAGGAACGGGAACAGGACCCAGGCACGCGCCTGTTCGTGCGGGAGGTAGGGCGGGTGTGGGGTGCATTGGAGGCAGGGTCGGGTACATCGTCGCAACCGGGGAGGGATGAGAAGGCCACAGCAGGAAGGAGAGACGGGAAGAGCGCGACACAGGCCAAGAACGCGCCGCTGCTGCACGTCGAGGCACGAGCGGCGGCGCGGCTAGTGCGTCGTGCGCTTGGGGACGCGGGGGGTGTGGGAGGCGGTGAGTGGCTGTTCTTCGTTTCGTTCTTCGTTTCGTGCTTTCGTTTTTTCGCTGCTGCGCTCCATTGCAATTTCCGTTGGTTTACTGCTACTACTTGATTCGTCCATTTGGCGTCCGGTATTTTGGCTGATTCTACGAGCTTGTGTATTTTGCCCTTCCGGCGCTGCTTGTTTCGAGCGCCAGTTGCGTCGAGTATCTCAGTTTTTCGAACCCCGCCGAGTACTCTTTTCTATACTTTATTCTTTCCATCTCTTTGGACGACAACCTCCTCCCTTCCGTGTCTTTTCCCTCTTTATGTATACGCGCTTACACTTACGTTCTTTCGCACAGACCTCCTCACCGCCGCTCTCAGCGCGCTCGGCGCGTGCGTTCGGCAGGGATGGGCCGCGCCCGGGGACGCGGGGCTCGTGTGTGCGGTGCTCGAGGCGCTGGTGGGGGATGCCAAACCGTCCAGTAGTGAAGCCGGCGTTCCTGATGTGCCTGCTGCCGACGAAGGTGTAATAGCGGGGGATGCACCGGTAACTGCTACAGACGCAGACGCCCGCATCCGCGCCTCGGGCCGCGCCCTGCTCGCGGACGTGTTGCGGGCGGCGGTTGCCGCGGAGGACGCGTCCTTCTTAGTACATGTGTTGAAGACGTTTGGGGGAAGGCTGTTCGAGATGTTTGGTGAGGGGGAGTCAGTTGTGGAGGTGCGTTCTGTTTTTATTTCTCTTGTTTTCTTTTTCTTTTATGTTTAACTTGTTATTGTGAACAACATACTAATGCCACCCGCAGGCACTCGACGCCCTCCTCGCGCGCCGCGCCTATTCTTTCCTCCTCACCCAGCCCGCCTTGTTGTTCGCATACCTCACGCACCGCGCTGCACATAAGCAAAGTCTGTACCGTGCTCTACTCTCGGATATCGCGGTGCATCCGGAGGCGGCGGGCGATGCATTGGGTGCACTGGTGGGCAGTGGGGCGAGGAAGGCGTTGGAAGGATTGACCGCGGTCGATGGCGGGGATGTTTATGCCAGCACGTCAAGCGTGGATGCAACGACTAGGGACGCAAGCGTAGCGGGCCCCCTTGACGCGCTCATCACCGGCGACCCAATGGTGGTGATCCCTACACCGGTGCTAGCACAGATTCTTGAGCGCGCGGAGCTCTTCCTCTCCCCCACTGCGGCGCGCAAGGCACTGTCGCGCGTCGTGCAAGGCTTTGCGGCTCGGGTTGAGGCTGCCCTTGTACGTCCCACAGATGAAATGGACCCCGAGTTGTCTAGGAGCGCCTCTACGCTCGCAGGGTTCGAAACTGACCTTGCGCTTCTTGGTGGTGTGCTTGCCGCCCGGCCCGAGGCGGTCCGTGGACCGGATGCGGAGGTTCTGTTCCCGGCGGTGTATGTGTTCGCGTATGTGCTGCCCGAGACAAAGGCGGGCGCGGGTGCGGTGGAGGTGGCGAGGAATATGTGGGTGCAGTGGTGCGACGAGGCGGATGCGACCGGGGAGGAACGCGTGTCAGTGCTGGGGGAGGTGAAGCGCCGTCTCGGCGTGCTGGTCTGCAGCACGGATGTT